TTTTTTTAGGAATACAAGTTACTTTACGACACTTACTCATCCTTATCCTGTATAGATGGAGAGGAATCGGTGGTTTGCTTCGATCGCCTTCCCAACAGGCATTTAGCATCCACTTGCACATCTATAATGCATGTGTGAGCCAGGGTCGGCAATAAAGAAATATAGTGTGATGGGAAAGAACTGAAGAAACAAAGTGACAAAACTAAAGATATAGAACTAAATTAGGCCGCTGATCGATAATTTTTAAGAGGTTGGGGAAGTCCGTGTAGTGAAAAACACACCTCGATGATGGTTACGACGCCGGCCATGCAATCAATGTATTTTGGCTCGCTTACCATGCTCAACGAGACGTCTTTTTCGAGCCTGAAAAAATCTGAAGTAAAACTCGAGAATTAAAGGTGCCCCAAACCAGCAAAAGCTCTGAAAATTCTAAATTTCATGGCTAAATTTTCAATGGACCTCCTCCTTTCACAAAAGGCTTTTAAAAAGTAGAAAATTTAAAAGCGATTTATGCATTTGTCCGTTCCAGAACTCACAAATTTCTATTAGCTTCCCAAACATCGCGAACCCTTTGAAGGCGTCGCTTCTCTTCAATCCAAAAAGGCTCGGAAAAGTACCTTAATGTGAATATGTTACAAAATGTTCTATTGCTGTTTTTATCATCCAACCCAACTAGGGAAAAATTTTTTGACAATTGGAAGGCTGAAGATCACTTCTACTACCACCCAGCCACCCTGACAAGCTCAGATGATCTCATGCACCTACTGCTACCACTACTTAATCAGTTCCTAAGGTGTTCACGTTAGTTACTTTACGTTCAAGACTACCCCATGAACTACAAGACGCCAGACAACCCTATGAAAAGTGGAACTATAGAACAGTAGTGAATGACCTTGAAAAATCAACTCACTTTGCAGGCACTGTGTAGGTAGTTGAAGGGAAATACTGGGCAGAGCTCACAGGAAAAAGTTTCTTTGCAGTGTCATCATTAAAATCTCTGTACTTTCTCACGGTTATCTGAGAATTTCAACAAATTATACGCATGTAGATATCGTCGTATGTATAATGCCAAACCATAGAACATACGGACTCTAACAGTTATTGTGATACTCACCAAGCACTCAGCTTTATCCAGAAGAAATTCAAACTCGAGATCTTCTGGTTTTGGGTTTTCGAACTTCATGGTTTATTCCTGGGTAGATTTCATATGCCGGCAACAACGAAGTCCTCCTCTCTCAACTATCCAATATACCCCGGACTCTCGCTGAAAGCCTTATTGACAGTGCTGTGCAGAAAATGTTCCAAATAGAAATTACGATCCTAAATATTGAAAAGAGCTCTCTGACGATTCCTCGAAATACTTTCTAGCAGATCACCTCGTACTTGAAAAGCTAATCGTTCCGACACAGAAATGAAAGGGGATTGGGCTCAAACTAATGCTCGTGATGCACTGCAACCTCAGCCTAATTCACCCAGCCCAATTACTTGCCAAAGATCCATCGGGTGGCAGGTTTAGGCTTTGTATGTCCACTCACTTTAGGTTATACCGTGTAAAGAAATATATTGCATGAAATTCAGCATCCACCGTATTTTATCCCACCGTAAGACTACTGTAGGAACCGGATTCCCCACTGGATTTTTAGTCCACCGATTTCGATAAGAACAAGATTGGTTAGGAAAAAAGAAGTCAACGCGTTCTGAGAAGAATATGAGAAAGTTTTACAAAAAATTAAAGAAAGTTGCGAATAATGAAGAGGGAGAAGTAGTGGGCTTTTTGTTTCAAAACGGAGAGTGAAAATTATATTATTCTGGTGCATAAATTCACTACATACCCCATTCTATTCCAGATTTTATCGATTTGACCCTCAAATAAGAACTTATTTACTATTATCATCAGGGAAACAAAGTAGATTTACACTTCCTAAAACTTCTAGTAGAACTTGCTAGTCAGAAAAATTACGCACCAATTCAATAGATGGCTTAAGCTATCGGCGAATTCATACTGCTTGAACAAGAAAACAAAAAGAAAAGAAATCTAGATCTTCGTTAAAGAAAGGTCGCTGTTTTATTCACAGCGATGCATCTGCCTAAACACCTGAATATGTAAAAAGTTTTTTGGAGAGTCCAGAAGGAGACGATCACGAAGTGACCTCAGAGGTTACGTATGAAGGCACGAATCGAACGATCAGGTCAATGCCTTTGGTATTCCCCTAGAGAATGAGTATCACCATAGGGCACAGATAACGACAGGGGCGATTACTGTTTACTGTGCTAATAGCTTCAGTGATGCCGACTTCTGATGATGACTATGGCAACGTCAAATTGAAGCGAATATCAATTGTAGTTGACAGCTTTGGATCAGTGTAGGTGGTCTTAAGCAAGACACTAACTCATTTCTT